ACGAAAGAGGGGGAGGCCTTCAATGAGATGGATTGACACGGTGGCTGCGATAATGGGCTCAAGTATAGCAGGGATTGTGGGGCTGGCGCGGGATCGGGCAGTGTTTCGTTCTGCTGTGCACGGGGTCTCTATGAGTCCGAAACAACTCGATGGCACTTAACAACAACAACAACGTAAAATACATGTAAACTTCTTGCATATGCTAAATTAACAGTATTACTTAGCAGTCTGTCTCTGTACCCCGTTGGTTTAGTCTCCAAGATTGTTTCAAAAATTTCTATCTGCCAGAGGATTATGAGAACAAAAACTAATAGAAAAAAGGAACAAATAGAAATAATATTTTTTTTAAAAAGTTCAGTACATACTCAAGTAAAATCTATAGTTTTTTTTTTTTTTGGCACACTTCTCATGTATTTTATAATTTCATTTCTTTAGTCTGAGAGGATTTCACAAATTTTAAAGAAACAATGGTGTCTTAGAACTGGTGTTTTTCTTGAGTTGCACATTAAGGTGCGTAATTTGCATAATAAATACTATGCACTATTATAAATGGAGGTTAGTGTAAGGAAAGTCAATGCACTAAGGATGTAATTTGCAACCAGCTTTTATCTAAGTTTACCTTATTTACCTTCACATTTGGTAATATAGTATTGAAGATACTTGCTTTAGGACCAAAATGTACTTTTAGAAAGTAATGATCTAGACTGTTCAGTAAAATGCATGAATTTCAAAATGCACTTTATTATCATAGGTTGGAAATTTTAATTTTAGACTTTAAATGTTATGTGTGACATAAATGTAATTATCTTTAAAGTGATTAAATCACATTTCTCCCTTGAGTAAGACTGCTTCCTTATGCAATTGGTAAAAGACAAAGAAATAAATACCAAAACAACAACAAAAATAGAACTCAAATTACATCTTTCTCTAAAATAAATAAGTAAATCTCCTGTGACTTTTGAAGCAAGAGGGAAAAAAATAAGTTTAAGCAACTTGAGAAAACTACTCATGCAGAATATTTAGAGAAGCAGTTGTTTACTCAATAGTTGCCATCACTGTACAAAATCTATTGGCATTAACCTTTAGTAATTTATATTATTGGAGAGAGAGAGGAGGAAAAAAATAGTGATCCTGTGCCTTTAATTTCCCTTTCTGAGCGAGGGAAAGCTGCACACCACTGACAGGCTCACTTGTTCCCGTCTTTAATGTGCAATCTGTTTTCTCCAGCGGAGGGCACTCAGTGTATCACAAACTCAAGCATTAGCACCAACAAGCTCTGAGCATCATCAGTCTCTGGAAAGCCTTCTGAATTAGACAAGGGCTGCCTCTCAGCACAGCTACAAAACACTTTAAACCTGACCAGCTAAATGGATAAACCTAGCCTGCATAGCTTTTAAACTGGGGTCTCATACAGCACAGGAGGCCTACTTGATTCAAGAACTGAAAATCCAGAGGATGAATTGCTCTAACTGGGAATGGCAAAAGCCAGCACAATAAGGAATGCCAGGTATTCTGAAGATTTTTTCCTCTCTCTTTTTACAGAGAAGTTGGTTATCTTCGAGATGGGCTGTAGCTATTTTCCACAGATTGCCAATTACTGCTGATGGGTCTCTGGTGAATTACACAATGGTCCTTAGAGCCTAGAGCCCCCTCTCCACGCACGCACGCACACACACATACACACACACCTTCTTTCTTCCTACCCCCCCATCACAACCGGCGCCAATTTTTTATTAAATATATATGTAAATTTTTTTTTTGCCTGTGCTCTCCGGGGAAGTTTGTATGGAGCTACTAGCTCACATGCGGGATCAGGATGGTGTGAATGACAGCCGCACTGTGACATGAAGGTGGTGGTGGTTTCAGCACAAGAGACCAAATAAGAAGAAAGCTGAGAGAGGGGGGAAACGTTTTTGGATGACAAAGAATGGGTAAGTGAACTTTTATTTCCTTCTTAACAAATCTGGTCCTCTTAGCTTCCTATCCTCAGTCATGGCATTAGCAGATAAAAGACGGGAAAACAGGCAAAGAGAAGCAGCTTCGGAGTTTGCCAGTTGACTTGCTATAGTTGCTATTATAATTTTAGATCATTTTCCCTTTTTTTTTTTTTTTTAATCCTTAAATGCATAACATGGTGTTAAACAGACTCTGGAGAAAGATCTTAAGATCTTTAAGACTGTCTATCTTCTGCCGTATCCAGAGCTTGGGAATTGAGCGTGAGATAAATATTGTGTTTGCTTCTATTTCTTGGCCTTATTAACCATGCCTGTATTTCTGGTTGCTGTCAGGAAGATTGCGAACACTTTATTGCGTGTGTATAGGGGTGAGGTCGTTACTTTATCAGAGGTTGCACAAGGGCTTGTTTTATCTTTGAAGCTGTATCCTGAACAGGGCTTCCAAATTCCCAGCAGTCATTTGACGGTCTTATTTTTTCAAGTGTAACTGCCCGCCCCCCACCGCCTCCCCAATTCTCCTGTCTGGGAGAGCTGGAATGTATTTCAATGAGTCTGTTGCTGGCAAGAGGATTGGGCAAGATCAGGGTTTAAATTAAAAAAAAAAAAAAGAAAGAAATACAACTTAAGTGTTTGAATGGAGAAAAGAAGGTTTTTATATTAGGGGTTTGGCTCATTGCCACTTGGTTAAAAATATGAAGGTTTCAGAAAAAAGAAACTGCAGCACGCGGTGATTTTTTTTTTCCCTCCCACCGCTGAGAAATAATAAATCTACTGTTGACAGAGGTAAGAAGTCTCTTAACATGCAATGACTTGGAAATACAGCATGAGTGCCAATACACTGCAACTCTGCAGCTTTTCTGAAGTTAATGGAGAGAGGGGAGGCAAAAGAAAGTCAGTGAGAAATTTAAGCAGGTCGGGATGGGGAGGAGGAGGAGGAGTCTGCTGTTCCTCTCCTGTTTATCCTGTAAATTTGCAAAAGTAACTGTATTAAAATAACAAGGAGACTAATACTATGCAAGGTTGTTTAGCATTCTATGTAAATGTTTACTAAGAATTTCACATTATTAACTTTGGAGTGTTCTGTGTTGTTAGTAGTCAGGGCTCTTAGCCTGGATATTATTGGTTAGGGGAGGCACAGTATGCTGGTCCTCCTGACTGTTGACAGCATATATGCTTATTAACAAATTGGAGATACCGCAGATTGTTATTAGTCTTCATACTACGCATCATTTGCTGCCCATACTAGCCCCAATGCCATTTTTCAGAGCTCATATAATGCTATTCTATTATGCAATAAATGTACAATTTCAGCCAGGGCAAACTTGGGCTATGTTGACAGCCTGCCTCCTTTGCTAAGTCACAGCTTGTTTGTTCAGCTAGGAAAGATGTACAAGTACTGGCTTTACTAAGTCACATTTTTTTTTTTTTTTTTTTTGCTTACCAGAAGACATTGTACACTTCCTTTTGGTACTGGTGTTCAACACAGTGACTAGACAAATATTATCGTTATTAAAGTGTCAGCTTTAAGTGATAAAAAAGGTTCTGTGCTTTTCCATGCTGCTATACATGTGAACTCCTAAAACTCCACGAAGCTTTTCTTAGTTCTATAGTATTGTGGTGATTTGACAAAAAAGTATTAAATCTAAATCGTAACCATGCAACATTACAGAAAATAATGCTTTAAATGTTGTTTAACATCATGCCTTAAATCAACTATCATCTAATTCCCCTAGATGAAATACCCCTGTTATCTGCAAGCTGAGAGTGATTTATTTTAATAGGTTTACAATTTGCATTTGTCTTCTTTTTAATATTTTAGGTTTCCATTTAATTACGCAGCTGAGAGGCATGAGTGTGGTGCTAGTGCTACTTCCTACACTGCTGCTTGTTATGCTCACAGGGGCTCAGAGAGCTTGCCCAAAGAACTGCAGATGTGATGGCAAAATTGTGTACTGTGAGTCTCATGCTTTCGCAGATATCCCAGAGAACATTTCCGGAGGGTCACAAGGCTTATCATTAAGGTTCAACAGCATTCAGAAACTCAAATCCAATCAGTTTGCCGGCCTTAACCAGCTTATATGGCTTTATCTTGACCATAATTACATTAGCTCAGTGGATGAAGATGCATTTCAAGGGATCCGTAGACTGAAAGAATTAATTCTAAGCTCCAACAAAATTACCTATCTGCACAATAAAACATTTCACCCAGTTCCCAATCTCCGCAATCTGGACCTCTCATACAATAAGCTCCAGACATTGCAATCTGAACAATTTAAAGGCCTTCGGAAACTCATCATTTTGCACTTGAGATCTAACTCGCTAAAGACTGTGCCAATAAGAGTTTTTCAAGACTGTCGAAATCTAGACTTTCTGGATTTGGGTTACAATCGTCTTCGAAGCTTGTCCAGAAATGCATTTGCTGGCCTCTTAAAGTTAAAGGAGCTCCATTTGGAGCACAATCAATTTTCCAAGATCAACTTTGCTCATTTTCCACGTCTCTTCAACCTTCGCTCAATTTACTTACAATGGAACAGGATTCGCTCCATTAGCCAAGGTTTGACATGGACTTGGAGTTCTTTGCATAACTTGGATTTATCAGGGAATGACATCCAAGGAATTGAGCCGGGCACATTTAAATGTCTGCCCAACTTGCAAAAATTGAATTTGGATTCCAACAAGCTTACCAACATCTCACAAGAAACTGTCAATGCATGGATATCATTAATATCCATCACCTTGTCTGGAAATATGTGGGAATGCGGTCGTAGCATTTGTCCTCTATTTTACTGGCTTAAGAATTTCAAAGGAACTAAGGAGAGCACCATGATATGTGCAGGACCTAAGCATATCCAGGGTGAAAAGGTTAGTGATGCCGTGGAAACCTATAATATCTGTTCTGAAGTCCAGGTGGTCAACACAGAAAGATCACACCTAGTGCCCCAAACTCCCCAGAAGCCTCTGATTGTCCCCAAACCTACCTTCTTCAAACCTGATGCCACTCAACCCACCCTTGAAACACCAAGCCCTTCCCCAGGGTTTCAGATTCCTGGCACAGAACAAGAATATGAGCATGTTTCATTTCATAAAATTATTGCAGGGAGCGTGGCTCTCTTTCTCTCTGTGGCCATGATCCTCTTGGTAATATATGTGTCTTGGAAACGCTATCCAGCCAGCATGAAACAACTTCAGCAACACTCTCTTATGAAGAGGCGACGGAAAAAGGCCAGGGAGTCAGAAAGACAAATGAATTCCCCTTTACAGGAGTATTATGTGGACTACAAACCTACAAACTCTGAGACCATGGATATATCAGTTAATGGATCTGGGCCCTGCACATATACCATCTCTGGCTCCAGGGAATGTGAGGTATGAACCATGATCCTCCTAAAAGCATTTCTACTACGGGGGAAGGAGAGGTAAATGTTTGAAGCTCTAGAGGTGTCTCTAATCACTAGAAAGATTAATGACCCTTTTGCTTTTGAGTTTTGCTCAGTGTGAAAGGTTACTTAATTAAATTACAACCACCAGGAAATTGACTTTTTTTTTTAATGGTTGAAACTTGAAGGAAGTTCATTCAAGGATGAGATTAAGTTGGAATAAAGAAAGCACTATGTTAAAACATCTGTTTTTTTTAAAATTTGTATACAGGGGTTGGACTTAAAAACACATATACACATAAAACTCTTTTCATTCTGAAATTTCTGTCTGGTACTTGGTGTTTGATTTTGTAATGCAGTAAAGAAGGAGAGGCCAGTTTAATTTAAAAACAAAGTGAATTTACCAAAATTCTGGATGATAAGAAAGATTTAAACCAAAGAGCAATTTACCCAAGGGTTGATTTTGTTGTAAATTTTTTAGTTTCAATTAAAGCATGCAACAGGGATCTCGCAGGGATAACTGTTTCCGTGTTACTTGCCATTTAGAAATTATACCAGCATAGAGAATGTCAGAGGCCTACTGTGTAATTGTATCAGGCTTTTTAAAATGCCTGCCTGCCGGCCTGCCTGCCTTCCACTCCCCTTCCTTCTTTGCTTCCCTCCCTCCCTCCCTCTCTCCCTTCCTTTTTTTCCTACAATGTTTCTATTTTTTTTCTCTCTCTCTTTTTTTCTTTTTAATACTGGGACATAGACTACTTTTCAAAGTTTTTTTTTTTTTTTTTTTTTCTAAGTGCTGGCTATTTGTATGTAATCGGAATGAAACTTAAAGTCCTTGTTTGGCTTTGTCTCTGGTAATTAAGATCAGGTCATAATGTTGTGGATGATTTAGCAATAATATAATGGCAGGCATAAGAGGAACTATTTGTCAGTGTTGCTGTTATCTTCAGAAGAAATGATGTGTATTGTTGTTAAACTTATCTAAAACTAAGTGATGCAAATATTTATAAATAAAAAGAGAGGTTTGAGTTCTGAGTAGTCTCCCTTACTGTAACAATAACCTCAACTGAAGGCATTTCATGTTATACTATTTTCATTTCCATGAGAATAAGGTTAGCCTCAGTTTCTGATTACTCAAATTTGGAGATGACTTACAAGAACACGTTAATGAATAGAAAAATAGTCGTAGATTCTGAACATGTCAATAAGTAATACTGATTGATGTAAGTTATTCTTTCCTCCGTAAAGTTCATCTTAATGCACCAAGACTGTGAATGCCAAGCAGAGGGGTATCTAGGGCATGGCAGGTACGGAACTTGCCCTCGGTACCACTTGAAAGGGCGGCGCCACTGAGCAGTTTCAGTTTACCTGGTGTGGCCCAACTCCTTCCTCAAGAACAGTAGACATACAGGGGTGGGCATAGAAGGGAGTGAGTGAGGGGGCATTTGCTGCCAGGCACAAGCCCAAGACCAGAGGAGGCACAGAATGACATCCCGAGATGCCACAAATCTGAAAGGCTCCTGGCTGAAGTGGCCAAACAAGATGTGGGAAGGTGTTTCTGCCGATGCTTCTGTCACCATCAGTGTCTATTCATTTTGAGATTGGAAGAGAGGGTGTGCGGTTTAGAGACTGCTCCTGAGTGCTGGATTTGGGGGAGAGGGGCAATTTAGAGCTAACCCTGAGCATTTGTTACCCAGGCTACACTTCTGCTGCCAAAGCCTGCTGCTGGAAGGAACTAGTGAAGAGAGGTTAAGTTCTAGGAAAGTGTTATCTTAGTATCAGATTTTAGTAACTACTGTCTCGAAAGACAGTTTTAATGAGTAAAGATTATATCCTTTTTAATACAAATTATAACAATTGGAAAACATAATTTGCTTTTGACATTATATACTCAAAGCTTTTCACAGACTTAAAGGCAGATGCTAACAAAAATGTTTTCAGACAAATCATTGATTTTGAAAATAATCTCTAACTCAGTACAATTTGGAATATTGAACTGTTCTTCACAGAACTTACTTCTTTTTTTTTTCTATGATTGGAAATAGAAAAAGTAATCCGAGATATTAAATCTCTAAAAAAAAATCCTGTGTAAGCAATTGCCCTTAAAAATTAAAGATAATAAAAAGGTTTTCTATAAAAGTCTAAGAAGGCTTGATGTTTTTATTCCAACTTCACCTTTTACTGTATACGTGAACATTAGTAAAACAAGTTTGTCCTATTTTATTTAGGGGTCTTGTACCTTTTGTGATCCTCTTAAAGTCTACTAGCATGAAAAGAAAAGAGAACTCCACATCAAATCATTCATTTTCTTGTGGCTTTTGAAGTTAGGTAGTTATTTTTATTGAAAACAATCACAAAGCAGGAAGAAGTTGGACACTTAAAGAACTAGTTCTTGAGAATAGTAACTCTAACACATTTTCAGAGATACTAGTTCACAGATTATCCCTTTAAAACCTCTATTAGGAACAAAACTAAAAAGAGAAATAAACATGATTAATGCGTAAAAACATGCAGATTTTAACACAATACATGTTATGTACAGTGCAGTTGAGGGCCATAAAATTGTAGTAGCCTTGTTAGGAATGATAGTATTGGTAAGGAATTAAAAAAAAAAAAAAGCAGCCCTATTGAGGTAAATCAAATTCCTTGTGCCCTAAAAAGTGGGATGTGGTAATGTGTATAGTTAAGATTATGGACTCCACTTGAGAGTATTAGAGGGTGTGATAAGCCTCATTTAAATGAATATTCAGTTTGAACCACAAAAACATAAGCATTTCAGTCCCCCCCCCTTTTTGGCGGGATGTTCAATGTATTATAGTTAGTGGTGGATTGAGAAATGAAGATAGACAAATTATTAAAAATTAGTCTGAAAACTGTAAGTCACACCTACTTTTGTAACACCTGACTGAAATGTTTCCTACTGAGAAATATTTCCTTGGAGAGGACATCTTCCCTATGGAAGCCAAAAGAGGGGTGCGATTTGCTCAATATCATGATTTTTAGAAATAGTAGAGGTATGCTGACTTTTAGCCTGGTGGTTTTTTTTTTTTTTTTTTTTTTTCCATAAAACTTATGTATCTATAACTTAAATAGAATCATTTCATAAAGCTTAAGTGTCTATAACTTAAACAGATTTATAGTATAAAGTTTTCAGATGTTGATTTTTTTTTTTTTACTCAAAACATAGAAATATTCCCAACAAAGCCATAAATGTTTCACTAGAAAACTTAGCACCAAAAACCATTTTTTTAAGATAGTGCCTTGAAGAAAAAAACTCCAATTATTTGAACATTACACTTTTTAACTAATTTTATCTTTAATGATCATACCTTATATACAATTATAATATGAATATTATCTTTCTATTTTAGGAATAAACTAAAAATATTAAGATTCTTATGAGCCACTAGGGAGCTCTGGTGGCACAGTGCCTAAGGCATTTGACTGCTAACCAGAAGGCTGGCAGTTCAAACCCACCAGCCACTCCTCGGAAGGCAGATTGGGTTAGCTACTTCCATAATGATACTGCTTCAGAAACCCAAGGAGGGACCATTATGAGTCATATATGACTCTATGGTAGTGAGTTTGTTTTTTCTGGATTTTTTTTGAGCCACCGCACAAATATAGCATAGAGTTTTCAAATCAAATAATTTTAGCTCTATCTTTACAGGTGCTAATTTTGAAAAGTTTACATGTATATACCATGCTAACAAATTGAGGGAGAATATTATAATACAATGTTCCAAGCAGTAAAAATCTCCCACATCTACAAAAGAGAAGTAAATAGCTATGAATAATTAATATAATAAATGGCACATGTATAAGAGATACATATATCTCAAACATCATACTCTGAGTGGACCAGTGTTCTTGATTGGACTGAATCATATAATTTGTCTGTCATCAATATGTACTCAGAAAAATACTGTAAGTCAAGAGGATATTACTTTGCCTAAAACTGAATGAGATGTTATTAAAAAATAGAATTGCAAATACTTTTAAAAATAGCTTGTGAAACTTTGCATAACATTATCTCATTAAAAATGCATCGGTCATCATGCTACTTTGTTCTGTATTCCAAATTTTTCCTTAAATATACAGAATACAATTTTGAATACTTGGTTCTTCTAGGTCATGTTATTCAACTGAAAACAACAAAGACCTTGATAAAATTTGTCATTGTGCATATAGGGCAAGAGAGAATATTTGTCTTTTAAATTAAAAAAAATAAAATAAGTAAGACCTTAAAAAGAATGAAGTTGTCTCTAATGACTCTACATCCAAAGTGTTTTTAAAGGTTAAGTAATTGAAATACAAACTTAAATTATTCCATAATGCTAATAGTGCTGGTATTAGAAGGGTAGCAAGTAATGGTACAGGTGACAAGATGGGTATATATTTTCAAATATTTGATATTTTGGTTTCACTCTTGAAAATCAACTAAAATACAATGATTGTATTATCAATTTTAGTTTATATTATTTCTTGAGCTGTTATGTAGTGGATAGTATAGATCACTTCCTACATTTTATATTTATATTTATTAGAATATATTAGGCCAAGTTCATTTAAGGGTGATTACTGACTTCTTTCTACACTTTGGAAATTTGTATTTACAGTATACTGAATGGATATCAAGGATATGTTCCAAGGGGATTATAATCCAAATAGCCCAGTATCACTGAAATTCACTGTCATTATACAAATATAACACTGTAGCAAATAAACACTATTTGGATGATTGATTATGAACAATGCTCTATGTCAAAAGATAGTAGTTGAAATACATACTTTGCATATTTACGTAGTATATTTGCTTGTGTATATGTAGATGTGTGTGAGCAAGTCTACATATATGTATATATACACACATACATACACACACATAGACATGCACAGGTAGTCCCCAACTTATGAGTTTGTGTTCTGAGTCCCCAACTTATGAGTTTGTGTTCTGATGACTCTATTGTAAGTCAGTTCTGATTTCATTTTTTTTAATTTTTAATTATTATTGCCACAGCCTACTATATGGTACTGTCTTAAACAGTAAATCATAACATTGAACATCTGTGAGTGAACATATGAGAATGATAATATCAGCAAATTATGTGTTGTAATATTGTATGTAGTACATATCACAAATGAGAAGATGTATGTGAAAAACTAAGAGCTGTTATAAATGCATTTCATCAAAACTTGAATACATCATTAGTCTAGGACTACCTGTATGGAGAATGAGGTAGAATATAAATCTTTTTTTTTCATCAAAATTTATGTCCAAATATTATTTTCATGTTATAATTTGAAATATTAGTGAAAAAAATCTTGGATTATTATTGCCCAGATATGTTAGTCAGACGAATACTTAAAAGAAGATGAATGGTTTATCATCTATAAAAATTACAGGTACTTTATGATCTATGTTGTCACTTTAAAAAATAAATAATTTAGTCAAAATGTGTGTGTCCTACACGTTGCCATTTTGGTGTGACTTTGGGCAAGACACTTTATCTCTCTGTGATCCATCACCAAAATGAGATTATCCACCTAACACAGTATTTCCCAACTTGAAGTATTCCTCAGTTATCAAACTTCGTAAAATC